GGACTGTACAGCACTTCACGGCGTGCCTGCCATGTTCGATTCCCTGTTCCAGGCTGCCCCTGACGACTTCAAGTCCTCCAAAATTCGCACCGGTATTGTGGCCGGCGCCCCCGTGCCCCGTTACCTGATGGAGTTGATGGTCAACCGTCTTGGTATGAAGGAGTTCACCAGTAGTTACGGTTTGACCGAGGCATCCCCTACTTGCTTTAACGCCTTCACCGACGATGCGCTTGGCAAGAGACTTACGACTGTTGGTACGCTGATGCCCCACGCTTCGGCCAAGATCGTCGACAGAGATGGCAACATTGTGCCCATGGGTGAGCGTGGTGAGTTGTGCATGGCTGGTTACCAGCTTCAGGCTGGATATTGGAACAACTCGGAGAAGACCAATGAGGTTATGGTCCGAGACTCCGCCGGTGTCCTGTGGCTGCACACTGGTGACGAGGCTGTCTTCGATGACGCCGGATACTGCTCCATCACTGGCCGTTTCAAGGATATTATCATCCGAGGTAAGTAGAACATTCGTCACTCGGGCCGATTCCGCTGTTCCTTTTTGCTAACAGAAGTTAGGTGGTGAGAACATCTACCCTCTCGAGATCGAGGAGCGTCTCATGGCCCACCCCTCGATCTCCCAAGCCATTGTCGTCGGCCTCAAGGATGAGCACTACGGCGAGGTCGTCGGCGCGTTCGTCCAGCGCGCCGAGAACAGAGAGAAGCCGACGTTCCAGGAGCTCAAGGACTGGGTTCGCCAGCGCCTTGGTGGCCACAAGAGCCCCGCGCACATTTTCTGGCTCGGCGAGGATGGCGTCCCTTCCAACGTGCCTCTGACAGGCAGTGGCAAGGTCCGCAAGTTCGAGATGGCCAAGGTCGGCGACGAGCTTCTCAAGAAGAACAAGGTCTCCGCCAAGTTGTAATTTGTAATACTGCCTAGAGATGGGATAAAGATTGTGTATAGAGCGATACCATACAAAAATGCTTTTTTTGTTCGTGTTTAGGGCCAAAGAGATGGATAGAATGCCCGTAGCCAGATTTTTACAGTCATTTTACATGACGTTGAACAGAGTTTTGATATAAGTGGAACTGAAGCTTAGCATTTACTGCACGGAAGTTTGGTGTTTGTGTCTTTCGAAACTCTATCGTGCGTGTCGCAATCGGGTCAATCCATGTTATTTACTAAAACTTATTCTTATACTTACTTTGGCGTGTTTCCTTATCTTCCCCAAGTCTTGGCAGTGGAATTGCGGAAGAACAGCGGGAGAAGAGCGGCTGACGGGGATGCGCCCGCCATGAGGGCCCCAGTGAGGCCAAATCTGCAGTGAGGCCAAAATCGCCATGACTCTTTGGTCCCAACACGGCAGCTCAATGTGTTTTTCGCGCGCAAGTGCGACAAAGTGTCAGCACTGGTGCAATGCACGAACTATCATAATTGGTTCGTTTTGTAACATCCTGCCTTTTTGGAGAGGAAATCATTTCCTGTTGATTTCTCGGGTTGAAACTGTGTAAGCGGGTGACTCATGAGACGGCCTTACGGCAAGTAAGCTTTCAACGAGGCCTGCTTGTTTGACGATCCAGTGAGAGAATTTGCTTGATGTCATTTCCAACATGTGTATAAAATCACCATACATTCAGCCTCAAAATTCAATCTAAGTACCGTCTCAACCACATCGCAACTGAATCAATAAATCTCCAAAGGCCACCGCAGAGGTTTCAAAGATGTCTCAACCAACAATTGCCGCTCTCGCGAAAGCGTATCCCCACGACCCAAAACACCTCCACTCGGTCATCGTCCCCCAACTAACCCACCGGCTCCGCCTGGCATCTGTATGGTCCATCGCCCCGTCCTCCCGCGTCCTTGACATCGGGTGCGGCCAGGGCGACTCCGCCCTCGTCCTGGCGCATACGGTGTCCGGGTCCGACGGGGAAGCGGGGTCTGCGGCGGCCGGCCATGTGACGGCGCTCGACCCGGCCCCGGGCGACTACGGAAGCCCGTACACGCTCGCGCAGGCACAAGCGTACATCTCCTCGTCGGAGTATGGCTCGAGAATCACATTTCACCAAGCGGACGCCCCGTCGTATCTGTCTTCCCACTCGGAAGACCGATTCGACGTGGCGACGCTGTGCCATTCCTTATGGTACTTTCCCTCCCAGGACGCAGTCTCGTCACTCTTCACGGCGCTTCACTCGTCTGGCCAGGTGCAGAAGCTGTGTTTCGCAGAATACTCCCTCGAGGCGTCCAAACCATCCCAAATTCCCCATGAGCTGGCGGTTGAAGCCCAGCGCAGATTCCACATACTGCGAGCCGATCGCGGGTTTACCGTCGACCAATCCAACGTCCGCGGCGCGCTCGCACCGGAGGAACTCATCCGACTGGCCGAGCAGGCCGGCTGGAAGCTGCAGGAGAAGGGCTCGGTTGATACGCCGGGACTGTTGGATGGGCGGTGGGAAGTCGGGGCTGTGGTGGATCCCAGCTGGACCGAGGAGGTTTTGGGGGAGAAGTTGGGGCAGGAAGCGGAAGAGGAGTTGCTTGGTTACGTGGGTAGGATTAAGGAGGCGGCGGATGAGTTGAAGCAGAAGGGCGAGGGGACCGAGACGCTGGATGCTGTTTGGGTGGTCATGCAGCGCTCATAAGCCGAGTCTTTCCATGTCATGTCATCCAAAGAGCCGATTTTGATATTCAAGTCCGATATACAATCCGAGTGTTGAAGAATCCAACTCTGGCGACTTCTCATAGTCCTCACTGTGTTCGAAATTACCTTTCTGAAGTGCATGATTGTCACTTTGTTTGAGGCCATTCATCACAAGCCTTTCGCTATCATCCTAGAGATCGCGGGATCTATTTGCAAGCCAACATCACAGGAAGCCATGCTGGCTCTCTTCCAGTCGAGGAATATAGAATGAGGCATCGAGATGGATCCAACTACCTTGTCGATACGACATCCACTGGGGCAAGACCGATACCGAGCTGAGAGCCGTCTTAGAAATCAATGTCCGGTCCGCAGTGTCCCTGCCGAGAACGCCGTCCGAGAAGGCATCATCGATCTGCAGGCATCCAGGCTCACTTTCAGCAGCCCCATCGCCCTGACCGAGAGACAGAAATATGCACTCAATGGCAGGCACGGCAGATCTTGAGTCACGGTTTCCAAGTTTATCAATCTCGGCGGGGCCCAGGTCTTGTACCTGTCCAAAGTGGATGACAACCTTGGAGCTTGAGTCAACATTGGAAAGCATTGCGCTGGGGGTGGGAAAGGGCAGACTTGATGATTCTACCGGTGCCGTACCGGCATCTCCAAAGGCGCCTCCGCGTCCCGAGTACGGGAGTCTCCGAGTTTAAGGTTGATTCCAGAGGCACAGCAGATAGCGAATGCCGGACGCCCGTTGAGCACAGCGGGCGGCAGATGAGACTTGGCAGGCGGGGAGAGAGCCGATCGAGGAGACACTGAGATCGTCTCAAGAGACACGGCGTCTTCTCCTCAGAAGGTGACGGACGAATCCTGAAAGCTTGTCGCTTCGGCAACAGAGACACACAGGAAGCCACATGTCTGAGGAGCAGCACCTGCTGCGCCGCTGTGCCAGACAAAAGGGCCCCCGTTCGTCCCACCTGCGATGGGCGACACTGGAGTGGTGTGGTGGAGATGATGTGAAGGGGAGGGACGAACAAGAGTCGTGCACACCCTGTGATCTGCGATGCTCTGGAGATGTTCCTCTGCGTACCGCCAAAACAGGCCACTTCGTCCGAATCTGACCCCACAAACCCACAAATGCACACGCCCCCCCCTCTCCTTCCTTGAAGAAGAAGTGCAGGGACCGCGGGCAGGTTCGGGTTGGGGTACGTACCGGAACATCGGAGCTTAGTGGAGTTTGTCTTCCCGCTGTCCCACCTTTGAGAAAAAATTTGATCTTATCTGATCCGGCTGGTGGCCGTTTCTGTGTGGATCGAAAGGCGCCTCCGACGCCGGAGCCATCGCTGGACCGGGTTCTAATAAAGTTATCAGATCCGCTAAGGGTCAGCCAGTGCAGCCACCTTCCCTGGAACAAGAACCGCCTCGCACGCAACTGGCGGCATCGACATTGGATCGAAATGTCGACGAGGGATGAACATGAGCCACACACCCACACCCTGTCCTGTCCCTCTCTTAACGCCGAACTCTGCTCAACCTGTCTTCCACCTTGCTCCGAAGCTGGGCTGGGAACAGGGTGGAAGAAAGTTCGTTCATTCGGAGCATTTTCGTTGCGCCCCGTTTCCCATCGTCCTCGACCCGAGGTCTTGGCCGCTGCGAGTGCACGCCATGGAGCCGTCAAATTCACACGAGGGATCCCTCCCATGTCCACATGTCCCATCAGCGACTCGTTCCCCTAACTCGCCTCCTCCGGTACTCACTTGTATCCATCTAGATGTACCCCCCCTGGGAGCTTCCAATGGAGCCAAGGCCAAGCGTACCCCGCCGTCAACCTCTCTCCCAGTCTGTCTCTGACCACCACCCCCGGACTGGACCAAGCTGATTGAACGGTGTGCTGGAACGATGTCATGGGCCGGCCCTGGAAGCTGCAAGGCGGCCCGGTTGCTTGCTCGAATGCTGTGTCGCCTGCGGCCTGCAGCCTATTGAAGAAAAAAAAAAAAACTGAGCCATGGCATGGCATGGCACGCCATACAGCCACCCACGAGCGGCGGGATTCCGACGAGACAGAGAGGGTGACCAGGGGTATCTGCGTTGTCAGGGTATTCAATGGCTGTAACTCGGCATCTTTTTTACCCTTACTGATTCCAAAAGAGTAGGCGGTGGTGACATAGCCTACGCGTGAAGCTCCGAAGCTCCAAGCTCACCTTCTCTTCCAATCTTCCGTTGTCTCCCATATTCCCAAGAAAAGCTTCAAGCTGTGATACCAATTGCGTCAAACTCGAGGACATCTCATACCCCCAGTTCCTCCCGTCGCATACATTCTATTCAATTGGACTTTTCGAGAGACACACTTAGAGCTTCGTCACGAGCAACACCGCAGCCATGTCGGCACCCGTCTCCCTCTCCGCCCTCGCCTCCTCCAACGAGAGCATCATCAAGCTGCCTCACCCGTACCACGCCGAGTACGCCGTCCAGCGCGCCTTCAACCACGATACCTTCGCCGGCAAGACCGCCGAGGGCGGCCTTCACTTCTACCGCCTGGCACCCCACGCCTCCAACGCCGGAACCTCCAAGCAGGTCCCCGTCCCCGAGCGCCTGCACAGCGAGAACCTCTACTTCACCGAGCCCGCGGACCTCAAGTCCAGCGAGCTCCCCGCCGACTCAAACAACAGCGCCTGGGCTCGTTCCCGCCGCTCCCCGAGCACCGTCTTCTCCTGGGACGGCAAGACCGCGCCCACCCTCGCCCAGGCATGGCTCCTCGTCTACGTCCTCTGGGTCCTGCGCCCGGCCGACGAGCTCCAGCGTCTTGAGCTCCGCGGTGCCGGCGCGGCCGTCCTCGGCCAGCAGCTCCGCGATGTCCTCCTGGCCATCGAGCACCCCGTCCAGAACGACTCCCAGAAGCCCGCCGCCACGGAAGAGCAGGCCACCGTCGTCCTCCTCCGCAGCGCCTTCTGGCAGGGCGCCGGCTCCCCCTTCGGCCCCCGTCCCGTCTGGCTGCCCGCCGAGTCTCCCGCCAGCCTCGAGCGCCCTCTGTCCTCCTACCCTCTTACTCCCCTCCAGCACACCATGACCGCCGTCCCGGCCTCGGACCCGGCCAACCCCAACCTCTACCAGCAGGCCTGGCACCCCATCCGCCCGGCCAAGCCCGCGCCGGGCTCGACCGTGTACAGCCGCTGGATCCCGCACTTGCGCGAGACCTTCTCCATGGTCGCGCTGGACTACCACAACGAGGAGCACCTGCGCCTCTTCCACGAGTGGCAGAACGACCCCCGCGTCTCCCAGGGCTGGAACGAGACCGGCACGCTCGACCAGCACCGCGAGTACCTGCGCAAGATCGACGAGGACCCTCACCAGTTCGCCATCCTGGCGGCGTGGGAGGACACCTTCTTCGCCTACTTTGAGGTCTACTGGGCCAAGGAGGACAAGCTGGGCGGCTACTACGACGCGCAGGACTGGGACCGCGGGCGCCACTCGCTCGTCGGCGACGTGCGCTTCCGCGGCCCCCACCGCGTGAGCGCGTGGTGGTCCTCCCTCATGCACTTCCTCTACCTCGACGACCCGCGCACCACCTGGGTCGTCGGCGAGCCCAAGAAGACCAACGACACCGTCCTCATGTACGACTTCATGCACGGCTTCGGCCTCGACAAGTTCGTCGACCTCCCCCACAAGCGCAGCGCCTTCGTCCGCTGCTCGCGCGAGCGCTTCTTCCAGCTGTGCCCGCTCGGCGAGAACGAAAAGGTCGTCGGCGGCATGCGCCTGGGTCTCGTTCCCAAGTTGTAAATTTGTCCCGTCCACCAGCGTCCCTTCCGAGTGGAGAGTGAGCAGTGAGCAGTGTGTGTGGATCTAGGTACGCGCGACGTAGAGTGGGGTGTTTGTACGTAAAAAAGGTGCCAGCAGCTTTCAGGAATACCTCTGCTGTAGAATTTATTTCCATAATTTGAGTAAAGATCTGATAAGCACAGTGTCTTTTTTTCTTGATATGCAGGAACATGATTCATAGCCTAGTCTAATTCGGATAACACACCCCACACATGAGAGAAAATTGGTTGAAGTTCATAAAAGATCATTGCATTTATGTCTAGCGGTAGGCAATTTATTCTAAACTACCGGATGAACGTTGCGTCATCATCATTGCGCCCATGAACACCGTTGTAATCCAAGAAAAAAGCAACAAATACCCAGAGAATTTTTCAAAGCAAAGAGCAGATTCAGTTGTCGGCCTTGCCAAGCTTCATGTGGTTCCAGCAGACTAAAAGAACCAGGGTTAGTACCGTTGCGATCAAGTAGACAGGGGTGTCCAGGAGAACTTACTGGTGAAGCCGAGGTCGTCACGGAAGTAGGAGTGCATGACGTCCTCGCCCCACGTGGTGCCCTCAGAGCTGCTGGCAACAGCCTTCTTGCCGACAGCGAGACCGATCATGGGCTCGACGAAGCCGAGCTCGTAGAACTTGGGCTTGTGCTCCTTGTTCGTGAGCTTGACCAGCATCAGCTGGTGGATGTTGATGGCGGCGACGTGGCCGTGGTGCATGGCGGTACCGCAACGCTTGATTCCGGGCCACTTGGCAATGTCGCCGACGGCGATGTGGTCCTCGGCGTTGGGGATGTCGGAGGAGAAGACCAGGTTGGGGTGGATGGGGACGTAGCCCTCCTCGTCCTTCGCGGCGGCGGGAACGAAGTCCGTGGAGGGGGTCTGGCGGGAGATGGCCATGACGACCTCGCTGGCGATGAGCTTGTCGCCATTGGTGAACTCAACCTCGTAGCGCGCGCGGCCGTTGGCGGTGGGCTCGATCTTGCGCGTCTCCTTGACGCGGGTGTTGAGGAGGACCTCGACGCCGGCCTCCTTGGTCAGCTCAAGAGCCTTGTCCTTGCACAGGTCGGACAGTCCCTCGGAGGAAAGAAGCTGGTTGCGGGAGTGCACCAGGGTCACCTTGGTGCTGGGCTCAACGAGCTTCAACTCGGCGGCCATCTCGATACCGACGGCACCGCCGCCGACGACGATGACGCCATCGGGAGCGTTGCGGACGGCGTGGATCTGCTCCTCAGCCTCGAGCAGGAACTGCTTGCGGGTGAGGGACTGGGGGACCACGGGGAAGGCGCGGCGCAGGCCAGTGGCGCCGATGAAGAAGTCGTAAGAGAAGTCCTGGGGCTGCTTCGTCTCGTGGTCGAGGACGGTGGCGGTCTTGGTGGCCGGGTCGACCTTGCTGACGCTGCCCTGGACGAAGCGCACGTTGGGGCGCTGCAGAGAGGGGATATCTTGGAACTTGACCCAGGACTTGGCGGCGTAGGCAGAGTCGGCGAAGGCAAGCGGCGAGCCGATCAAGTGGACTAAGAAAATAGGTCACGGGTGAGTTGGTGATCAGACAAGAGGGGCCGCGCCGGGGGTTTTGTTCTTACAGAAACCATCACGCTCATCGGCGATGGTGATGTCGAGCGGGATGTTCTTGAAGTCGGCGTGGTGCTCGTACGGGGAGTGAGCGAGGCGGGGGGACTCGCCCTTGCTGAGGTCGAGCAGGTTGAGGGCCGTGGACATGCCAGCATACGAAGTGCCGGCGATGAAGACCTTGAAGGGAGGGACGGTAGGAAGGGAACCCATCTTGTCTTTTGCTGCGGGGTCTGACTGGGAGGAAGATTCTACGTCGAGCGGAGGAGAGGACAGCGAAGAGAAGGAGCGGCGAGAGCAAGTATTGAACGACTCAAAGGAAAAGCCGCGATGGGGGAGACAGGTTGAGGCAAGTGAAGAGAGCGAAGATGCAGTTGCAGACGGGAACATGTGCATACTAGAAAGCAGCAAACATAAAGATAGCGTCCGCCGGAAGCCGAGCGGGCCTGGATCGGAACGGAGTCCTGGTCGGTTTGCGCGAGGGGCAGGACGACTGAGACTGGTTAAAGTTGCCCAGAAAATCCCACCAAATCCTCCCAACGAGAACCCAGAATCACCCCTCCATGGAGAAGGTGACGGGCTGGAGGGCAGGTTGAGCCGAGGACGAGCTCCTCGGAGGAAGCACGCTGCAGCCGAGACGGCAGGGCGAAGGGCAATCTGGATCCGCTGGGCCATGGCGATCGAGGGGGCGTCCGACGGGCAGGACAGCGAAGAAGGAGGGGGAGCGCCAGCGGAGATGACGGCATGATTGGGTGGGTTTGAACAGTCACTTTGGGCTTTGGGAACGGGATCCTATGTATCTATTAGTGCAACACTGGCGATGTACCGAAAAATCATTAATATGGATAGCAATGGTGCCGAGAGGGGTGATGGACCGAATAGTTGCTGAAATACGTAGACAGGAGACAGGAGACGTGGTGGCCATCCCGCCGGAGGGGTTTTGGTTTGGTTTAGTCTGGTTTGGCGTGTTGGAGCATGGAGGGGCGATGTGTGTGTGGTTGTGGTTTGCCCTGCCTTGAGATTATCAGATGGTGGAGGAGTTAAAGTTATCAGATCCGTTCAGAGACATGCAAGCCACTCCCAGCGCCGGGACAGACCGGTTTTACTCGGTGACTCCAGGGCTCGAGGCTCAACGCGTACTGGCTGGGAAGATCAACCCGTTACCTAATGAGGACAAGTCAAAGGTACGCGTTCCAGGGCTGCGCCTCGTTTTCAGTGGGCGCCCGGCGTTCGTTCGTTGAATGCTAAGTAAGGTGAGGTGGGCGTGAGGAACAAAAGGTCGGAATTCGAGTTTGGTTTCTCATTGCATGTCGGGTTCCTTGGGTGCCGTCTGACCTGACCGGCCGTTGGGACTAGTGCGTCAGGAGGAGTCCTGGGGCGCGCGGGACTACTCCGTATTGCGACACGTACGCCCAATGGTCTCCCTCTGCGAATTCGAGATGGATCAGACTGGAGTGGGTGTGTGAAATGTGTGTGGGTGGGAGTGACGGTGGGTGGGCGGGCAGCGGCAGCAGCAAGCACGTCGAAATGCGCCATTTTCCCTGCCGGTGAAAATTTTTGGGAAGGCAGAGGGAAATGTCACAGTGAGAGAGAAATGAAGGCTGAACAGGGCAGGTTCGTAGCAAGATCCGCAGAGGAGACAGGGCCTCCGTACTCGTACCGGCGAACGCCTTACCTCATCCGGAAGGGATTCACCGGGCTTTGCCAAGACAAATTATCAGATCCGCACCCACACTCCGGCATCGGCCCCACTCTGGTCGCCTGCTCCACGTCCCTCGCTCCACATCCTCCGGGCCTTCCAACTCCCCAACTCTCCAACACTACAGGGCACTGTATCCGTAGTGTAGCCACCTACCTGCCGCATGTCTCACCCACAAGCAGTGCACCCTCGCTGGGATCCCACAGGTACTTTTCACGTGCTGCACTTGTAACGAATGTCACTGCACTCACGGCTCTGGAGACACGCTAAAGGAGCAAGAAGAGAGACGGCCACTGTCACACACCATGCCTCTTACGCAGTACTCCATCGAATACGCGCCACGATGGTCGATACTTCAGCTCTACCGCGACGACGGGTTTCTTAACTCCCCGTGGCGGGGTCTCGGCGAGCAAGTTACGCTGTCGTCGACCCTAAACCGCCTGAAAGACCACTCTAAAGCGGATGTTGATGACAAAAGAACGCCTCTATGATGCAAATGTTGAGCCGGTTCGCCGAGACGGTGGCTGTAACGGCCGCGCGCCGATGCTTTGGTGAAGCTACTTCATGTCTGTCCCAGCCAAATGAAGACGCTTGCTCGATGGACCTGGTCGTCAAGTGGGATGCCGCACTACCATTACCATGGTTGTTGAGCGAAATTCGACTTCGGCACCAGCCGAACAGCCAGTCAACCACGCACCCAATGTGACTGAGGAGCAACAACTGCAACTGCATGAGCAGGCCCCAGAGAAGGCGGGGTCAAGCGTAAGTCAACTTCACGTGTGATCGTCGTCCACCGATAAGCTTACATTCGATTAGCGTTTCGAGACCTTCTTCAGCTTCTTCAACCTCTTATTCTATGCCGAACCAACATGGATCGACATTACGCTATTCGTCGTGGGCGGCATCACGGCCGCTGCTGCCGGCGTGCCTTTCCCCTTGATGGGAATCCTATTCGGCCAACTGATCGACGACATGAACGGTGCGACGTGTACCAGTGGAATAGGAGATGCCGACGTGTACATGGACGCTGTCGACGACAAGGTCTTGCAGCTCGTGTACATCAGCATCGGTGCCTTTGTCTTGATATACAGCTATACCACGGCCTGGAGCATGCTAAGCCAGAGACTGGCACAGCGCTTGCGGGAGAAATACTTCCAGAGCTTGCTCAGGCAGGAGGCCGGTTTCTTTGAGAATCGACAAGCAGGCGAGGTTTCATCGCGTTTGAACTCGGATATCCAAACCATTCAGACTGGAACGTCTGAGAAGGTCGGAATCTTCATTGCCACCATTTCGTTCTTCATCACCGCCTATGTCATTGGCTTCATCAAATATGCGAAGCTCGCAGGAATGCTGGTTTCCCTTATACCGGCGTTCCTGCTCATGTCCATCATCTGCGGAGGGCTCGTCCAGAAATGGACAGGAACTATGTCGGATGGTATTGCGAAGGCCTCGTCCATTGCATCTGAGGCCCTGTCCCATGTTGCCGTCGTTCAGGCTTTCGGAGCTGGACCCCGCCTGGAGGCCAAGTTCTCTTCGCATATGCTTGTTGCCCAGAAGGAGGGCATCAAGAAGGCTGTTGCTGCCGCTACTCAAGCTGGATTCTTGTACTTCCTGGCCTACTCTGCCAACGCCCTTGCCTACTGGCAAGGAAGCAAGGCCATCTCCGAGTCCGTCGCTGGAAGAGGTGACGGTACATCGGTGGGCGACATCTACACTGTCGTGTTTCTCATTGTTGATGGTGCGTGGTTCCAAAAGATTCTTTCTGTTCAGATTCTGACTGTCTACAGCTTGCATCATGCTCGGCACCATCGCACCCCTCTTGCCCCTTTTCGGATCGGCCTCCGCGGCATTTGTCAAGCTCCGAAAGGACATTGAATTCCGTTCTGCCATTGACTCTGTCACCGAGGAAGGCGAGAGACTGCCTTCGACTATTGAAGGCTCAGTCGAACTGAGCGGCGTGACTTTTGCCTATCCCTCCCGGCCTGACCAAGATGTGCTCAAGAACGTATCTCTTGTCTGCCCTGGCGGCAAATACACCGCCATCGTTGGCCTCTCGGGAAGTGGCAAGTCAACCATCGCAGGCTTGACCACGAGATTGTACGACCCCAAGGAAGGCACTGTTCTCCTGGATGGTCGAGACATTCAGAATTTGAACGTGAGAAACGTGCGCAGCTATATCAGTCTAGTCCAGCAAGAACCATCACTCCTCGACCGATCCGTTCTCGAAAACATCGCTCTCGGCCTCGTCAACTCTCCAAAGGAGGAACACCAATGGCTCAAAGATACCCTCCACGGACCTCAGCTTGAACAGCTTGCGGAAGATCTGCAAGGAGGAGCCGAGCTCGACGTTGCAGCCCAGGAATATGGCTCCGAGGTAGTCGAGATCGCCAAGCTCGTACAGCACGCCGCTGATCTTGCCGACGCAACTTCCTTCATCGACCGTCTGAGGTATGGCTTCGGAACACCCGTCGGGACCGGCGGCAAGTTGGTTAGCGGTGGTCAGAGACAGAGAGTAGCTCTTGCACGGGCTCTCATCCGCGATCCTAAGATTCTCATCCTCGATGAAGCGACCGCAGCCTTGGATTCAGCCAGCGAACATCGAATTCAACAGGCCGTAGAGAGCGTCTCCAAAGGTCGCACCCTGATTTCCATCGCTCATCGCCTCTCTACTATCAAGAATGCCGATAACATCATCGTCATGAATGCCGGACATATCGTTGAGCAAGGCACCCACGCCGATCTTATCAGTCGTAACGGAGCCTACGCCAACCTAGTCAACCTCCAAAACATTCACACAGCCGAAGAGGACGTAGCCCCATCTCGTGCCAGCACAGCTGTTGAGTCTCTTGACTCCAGAAATACCATTGAAATCGAGAAGGGCGGCGTTGACCCAACAGACCTCGCCAAAGCCATCACGGAAGCCGAAGGAAATGGCACCAAGGAGAAGCCCAAAAAGACGGCGGCAGAGGAACTCCAAGCTAGCGGACTCGACAGCAATAAGTCAGCCTGGCAAGTGGTTAAGCAGGTCGGACCCATGGTTCGTCCCCATATCCTCTGGCTTGTTCTCGCTCTTGTTGCTGCCTTCATTGTGGGCTGCACGTACAGTGGTTCTGGAACAGTCTTTGGATACGCCATCGGCTCAGCGAGTCCCTGCAACACGCCCAGCTTCATTTCCAGCAAAGGCGCCTTCTACGCCGGCCTCTTCTTCATGATCGCCTGCGTGGAGCTCTTCGCCAACCTGGCCAGCTGGTCCGCCTTTGGATATCTCGCCGAGAAGCTGCTTTACAGGATCCGGGTGCTTTCCTTCCGATCCCTTTTCCAGCAGGAACTCGAGTGGCATCAATCTGAGAATCGCAACCCTACAACACTGTTATCTGTCATCACGAAAGATGCGGCTGCCATCGGAGGCTTCAGTGGATCCATCATGGGCACGATATTTGCCGTGGTCGTCAACCTCCTGGTCGCAATCATTTACTCTCATATTCTCGCGTGGCGAATTGCAATCGTGTGCCTCGTGATCCTACCCATTCTCCTCGGCTCAGGAATAATGCAAATCAGGGTCCTCTCGCGGTTCGAGGAGAAGCATGCTGGCGCGTACGCCCAGGCTGTCGGTATCACCGTCGAGTCCGTCAACTCTATCAAGACCGTGGCCACCCTGTCGCTTGAACACGAGGTGCTGGGCCAGTACAAGCGTGCTCTCAAGGGCCCGAAGAGGGAGATCATCTCGGCCAGCGCCATCGCTAACATCTGGCTCGCTATCGCAAACAGCACAGGCAACATCATCTATGCGTTTGCATACTGGTGGGGCTCAAAGCAGATTGTCGAAGGCCGCGCGACCCAAACACAGTTTCTGATCATCCTCGTCGCGATGCTCGTGGGAGCACAGCTCTGGGGACAGATGTTCAGTCTTGCGCCCGAAGTGACACGCGCTCGCATGGCCGCCTCGAGAATCTTCAGCCTCCTCGATCTGGATAAGTCGGAAACCGACCCGTCAAGCAAGACCGAAGATTCCAAGGGGAAGGAGAAGGACGTTGAAGCCCTCGCCAACCCCTCGCCACGCCCGTCGCCGGGGAAGGGAGGCGTGTCCATCACCTTCAGGAACGTATCCTTTTCCTATCCCGCCCGCCCCGAAGTCCAGATCCTCGATAACATGAGCTTCACGATCCAACCAGGACAGTTCTGCGGCCTCGTGGGTCCCTCAGGTTCAGGCAAATCAACCGTCATGTCGATCGTGCAACGGATGTACACTCCCTCAAGCGGTACGGTCGAGATAGACGGCCAGGATATCTCAAAGTTCACCACTACGTCCTTCCGCGACGACATCGCCGTCGTCCCCCAAGACAGCGCCCTCTTCGACGGCTCCGTGAAGTTCAACGTCTCCCTCGGCGCCCGCCCCGGCCAAGACGCCTCCGACGCTGAGATAACCGAGGCCTGTCGCCTCGCAAATATCCACGAAACTATCGTCGCCCTCCCGCAGGGTTACGACACCGAGTGCGGCCCCAACGGCTCCCAGCTCTCGGGTGGCCAGCGGCAGCGCATCGCCATCGCGAGGGCGCTGGTACGGAAGCCCCGCCTGCTGCTCCTGGACGAGAGCACGAGCGCGCTCGACGCCGAGAGCGAGAAGGCGCTGCAGGAGGGTCTGGAGCGCGCGGCCCGCGGGATCACCGTCATCGCCATCGCCCACAGGCTGCACACGGTTCGCAAGGCGGACGTCATCTTCGTCGTGGAGGCGGGTGCCGTTGCCGCCAAGGGTCGGCACGAGGAGCTGATGGAGAAGAGCGAGAGCTATCGTCTCAACGCCATGCAGCAGATGCTTGGCCACTGATTCTGCTGCTTCTTCTTTCTTACTGGGGTCTATTGGGCTGTCTGGAGTTCGTATGCATTTACCCGTTGTATCTTGGCTACATTTTAGGAGTTTTTGCCAGGCGATTGTTGAGACGAAAGATCGGCTGCATAAATACAAACGTCAGCTTGCGATCCGCTCCCGACCTGCCTCAAATTTTGGTCTCTTCTAGACCCGGGTTTTTGCACATGTCCGTCTCCGCGACCGATCCTTCTTGGAATCATCATGCATAGATCCCGGGACCGAAGTTGCTGGCGGGTTCGCGGGCTTCTGTGAATCACCGCATGGGTCAGACGAGCTCTTTGACCATCAGGGGCTGCAGGTAGGCTTATGCGTTTTGCTAGCATTCAGTCGGATTACACGCCTTCGGCTGCAAGGCGTCTAAAAACTGCGCGTTACAAGATATCCCAAGTTTCAGATGACATATAGACAAGAAAGCGGCCCGAAAGACCGATTTGACAGCACGTGTGTTACGAGGTTATGCGATACGAATGCTCATAGGAATCACCGTCAATGTAGGGAGAGAATAGGCAGAAGGCAAATGAGTATGCGATCTAAGGAAAACCACTTGAAATTCATAAGCCCCGTTTCCCTGTCAAAGTCCTCGCAAGCCTTCATCGCTTGGTTGTGATACCAAGCCGCGCAAAAAGGGATTCAATGATGTCGACCAGGGTCGCACCTGACCCCGTCCTGTGACCCCGCGCGATAACGTGACTGCGTTTCTTCATGAGCCCCTACTTGCGGGGGAACCCGTTATCCGTGAGAGAAAAACCATTCCTAAAGTGCTGAACCGTAGCAGACCGAAACGCCGTGAACATTCTGAGGTGATGTTGTCAGAAGTTATGGAGCTCACGCCGTCTCGAAACCGCCGAAGGTGTTCTCGCCCGAGTAGGTGATGTACAGGAAGCTGCAAACATATTAGCATGGTGAGAATCATCACAGCTGTCTCAGGGGAGAGCACGTACCCATCCTCGTCCTTGTGCTCCTCGTAGATGCTGCTCATGAGAGCGGCGGTAGGGGGCAGGACCTCATCAACGAAGATGAAGATGGCCTTCTCCGGAGAGAGCTTGATGCGCTTGCGGATGACGTAGACGAACTGTCCGACGGTGAGGTCCGCGGGCACGAGGTACTTCTTCTTGTCGATGGTGGCGATATCTGACTTCTCGACCTTCTCGCAGATAACCTGGGTGAGGATGGTGGTTAGCTTGAAGGTGCACGACGGGATGATGGGAGATCGGCGGTGACGGTCGGGGAACGTGGGGCACCAGCGATAACGCGCGAAGCTGACGAAGGCAGCGACGACGATGGCCCCGTACTGCGAACAAGAATCGAGGATGCAGTGATGCGAAGGCAACTTACGGGAATACGATCAGAATACTTCTGACGGATGCGCTCGGCCTCGGCCTTTCGCTTCTCGAAGGGGTGCTCGTCCTTGAACTTGGATCGCATGTTGAAGGTGTTGGTGACGGGCGATGGGGTAGTTGTGGATTACCAGTGGTCTGCAGCTGGTGGAGTGCGGGCGACAGGCAAGTTATAGATGGCGAGATGTTTGGGCGAGAAGTGATGATGACAGATGCGGAAGAAGAAGTGTGTAGAAAGGAGAGTTCAGGTAACGAGGGGTCGTTTGCGAAGGCAGACGAGGTGCTAAGGTAAGGTATGGAACGACAAGGTAAGGCAAGCAAAGGTGGTTGCCGCCTTGGGGGTGTCGGTCAGACACACGGGGAATGCAATGGGCGGTCACTGAGTGAATGGTCTGGAGGAAGAGGCGGGTGGCTCAGGCGACGGGGATGCGTACCTGCCTGTGCTGCCTCCATGTACCTCTCTAGGCAGCTTGATAAGGAAAGATACCTGGGTGCGCGGCCCAGGTTAGAGAAGGCTTGGAATGACTAAGCCGCATGGAAGATGCTCCCCGCCCCTTTCCCCTTGCTTTCCACGCTTCCTACTGGTCCGAACTGCCTCAGCAGCACCCATCAGTCCCGTCGTTATCCTTATCGGATTATCGGAGCGGGGCAAGACACCGATTTCACATAGCCAGTCAACTGGTGCAGGTGCGTGCAGGGTGCTGGGGCAAGATTGGCAGCGTCCAGCGCCCAGTGTCCAGCGTCAGCTGGGCAGGTGACCACTGGGAAGCAGTGACGGACCACAGCCACTTGACGCAGGCTGGCAACCTGGCACACCTACCTTCTGGATCTGGCCTGAGTCACAAGAGGTCCTGGCACACAGTTATTTGTGACTATTCTGCTGCAGAGTACTTGCTGAAAATTTGGCAGAGTCTCACGGGGTCGTAGGAGAGACGACCTCCTGATACGTGCACACTGCTTGTCTGTGCTTGCTGCTGTCCTGTCACCCAAAGGCTTTGTGTGCTTGGTCGTCATCGGGGAGCATCACTATGCCGTTCCTTATCGGCGATACTCTGCCTGACGTCATTTGTCCCCAGTAAGAGGTGACATTGAGGACTCTCGAGGGGACGGCGTAGCACTCAGACTGAGGCGTGGGGACAGTCGCCGGCCGAATAAGTACACATCGTCCGGCCTTGCTTATCTGGCAGATAGGCGGGCTTACTTAAGGCAAGGTTGCAAGACCCGCTCTGGACCTCCGATAGCCGACGATGCAGGTGACAGAATGAACCGGGCGACAGTCCCTTAAGCTTAACTACTTGAGCATTCGATTCGTCTCACGAGGCAGAGGAGGATTGAACCGCCTTCGCAGAAGCGGATGCTGGAACCAGTATGGAACTATCATACGATCGTGGTTGCCAGATATGTTGCGCCATCAATGTGGTATTGCTCCCCAGCTTTGGACCACATGGAACTCGTCCATTGCGACGCAGCTCTGCGCTGAAAGCTGACGGCCCGACAAGCTGGAAAGGGTCGCTCTGGGGCTGGACCGTGGGCACCTCAGGTGTTTGCAGCAGGGCAGCTCTCCCACTGGTCAGCCGTGCCAGCGACTCGGGAGGGAAGGCGGTAAGGCGCCTCCGGCGTTCGGCGGCAATGCGACACCTCATCCCACCTCACCACGGATCAATTGGGCCCTGCGAAGGCGGGAGCTGTCCAGTCCCACTGCTTATCCTCCGTTGCCGTGACCGGGGTTCCGCCCATAGAACGTGGAACGATTAAGTTGCCGAATTTACTTTTACAGCTGGCCTGACTGGCTCGAACGACTTCCAGTCAGTCCATGATTGCTACTCGGTGGTCTTATGCCTCTAACCTGGGAATAATCATCCGATTTTCTGTACTCTGTACCCCAAGTCACTCTTTTCTTGCTATTCCCTTTTAGTATTCTGTCTGTATTTATATTTTCTGTCCGGCCGCATCATGGCGTCAATCAGGCATTCGCAGAGGGTGCTCGCACAGCTCGGCAGTTCTCGCACCAGACTCGCAACAGCAACCGCAACCAAGCTCCAACAACCGCAATTGGGTCGCAGACTCGTCTCATCATCCGCAAAGTCTCATTTCAAGGGTCACCAGTCTAACCCGGCCTTCTCCCGACTTCTAATTGGAGCAATTGGTCTTGCTGCTGCAGCACCCCTTGCCTACAAGATGGTACTGCAGCTTCACTCCGCACCACCCACCCATGCCGGTGTTTCCGTCACTTTGACAACCAATTGCTAACCTTCACCTTCTACCAAAATGCAGGCCGTTCAGGAACCTTTCCAACTCGATTCGCCGTCCCTGGCCGAGCGCGATGCCCTCACCAAGAAGGAATCCGACATCACCGAGGAGTCTCCTATGCGCCTGCGCATGGAGAAGTTTATCAAGGAGCAGCAACAGATCATCGTGAAGGAGCTCGAAAAGGTTGATGGAGGAAAGTTCCGCAAGGACGAGTGGACTCGTAAGGAGGGCGGCGGTGGCATCACCTGCGTGCTGCAGGACAGCAATGTCTTCGAGAAGGGTGGCGTCGGTGTGTCCGTCGTCTACGGCACCCTACCCAAGCCCGCAATTGCTAAGATGCGCGCCAACCACAAGAACCTTGATGACAGCGTCGACGCCCTCCCCTTCTTTGCCGCCGGCCTGAGCATGGTTCTGCACCCCAAGAACCCCATGGCCCCGACGGTCCACCTCAACTACCGCTACTTCGAGACAGCCCATCCCGATGGCACCTCCAACGCCTGGTGGTTCGGCGGCGGCAGCGACTTGACGCCCTCCTACCTTTTCGACGAGGACGCAGTCCACTTCCACAAGACGATCAAGGAGACATGCGACGCGCACGACAAGAGCTACTACCCGCGCTTCAAGAAGTGGTGTGACGAGTACTTCTATAACAAGCACCGCGGCGAGTGCCGGGGCGTCGGCGGCATCTTTTTCGACGACCTCGACGAGACCGAGAAGGACCGCGAGAACACATTCGCCTTCATTCAGGACTGCCTCAAGTCCTTCCTGCCCGGCTACCTCCCCATCCTCGAGAAGCGCAAGGACATGCCCTTCACCGAGGCGGAGAAGGACTGGCAACAGATCCGCCGCGGCAAGTACGTCGAGTTCAACTTGGTTCACGACCGTGGTACCGCCTTTGGTCTGAACACCCCTGGCTCAAGAGTCGAGAGTATCCTGATGAGTTTGCCCCTGACGGCAAGCTGGAAGTACATGCACGAGCCCGAGCCGAACAGTCGCGAGCAGCGTCTTGTAGACGTTGTGAGGTCGCCTAAGGAATGGGTGTAGATAAGGCAATATGAGGGGTAGAATAAATACCTGGATATGGAGCAATGGGATGCGAGCGATATTTGCTGTACAACTATCCCCTTTTACGGCGGACATAATGAGATTAGACAAAAGCCTTCAGGCGGCAAAACTCAATAAGAGATGTTTTCTTCTGTTCATTTCCGCCGAAAGTTGTCTAAATGCTTGCATTGGTAACTTCAAAAGGAGCCTGCCTCTAATTGTGCGGGAACTATCAGAGCTCCGATGTTCCCAATTTCATACAGCATCTTCAAGCACGCATTTTGACACACACCACGCCACCAAAGCAACTACACTCCGATGAACGATTTCTTTCCCAAACAGAACCTCATAAACCAAGAAATTGCCTTCCAAATGAAGCCAACTCATGCTGTCCAGAGAATACCATGAGCCAATCACAACCAACACCTCGCGCTGTCCTCACGAGCCTCATAAACAGTCTTACAGCATCACCGCTGACCCCGCTGCCACAGCCCGGCAGCAATCCGCTCAAATCCCTTCCTCAGTCCCAGCGTCCGATACTGGTAACCCTCCACGTTCTCTTCCCTTCGCTCGTCCTGCCCGCTCTGGATCTTCTCGACCGCAACCTCGTAACCCGGGTGGTCAAAGTCGACGCACTTCCCTACGACATCGATACCGATACCGACGACGAGGACCAAGTCCCCGACGCCGCCGCCGGCGGGGACCCCGCCATCGACCCCGCAGACCAACACCACCCGCCATCATCCCCCTCCAATTCTGACGACCAGGATGCAAACGACCGGGATGGGGCGACAGCCGTCCCCAACCGCGACGAACCGGCAGCATTCCACCTCGTCCGCTCCGTCGCGTCCACGTTCCGCCGCAACCAGTCCGCTGCCATGACAACTTCCACGGCGACGACATACCTCGTCCAGCTGGACGCGTGGAACTGCACCTGCGCCAATTTCGCCTTCGAGGCGTTCCCCGCCGGCACTGCCGCATCAGAGAGCGACTTGGAGGTCTTGGGCGCTGACGCCGTTGAGGACGAGATCGAGGTGTCGCCCGATTGGCAATTCGGGGGTCTAAGTCTCGATGGGAAGGATTCTGGCGGGGTGCCGTGTTGCAAGCATTTGCTTGCCTGCTTGCTGGCAGAGCAGTGGTGTGACGTTCTCGGGAGCTATGCTTTGGAGAAGAGATTGGATCGGGAAGAGATTGCGGGAACGATTGGGGATTTGTAAATCATCACGCAATGTGAACCATGGATACTATCAGTTCAAAACATGCTATCATTGTACAAGGCACATTCTTTTCTTGTGAATATGCCTGTTTCCCGCCCCCGGCCTGCCCTCCTGGACGCCGAGATATTATGACATGCCACACGGTCCCAATGTCTATCGCGGGTATCAGTCCCGTGCGTGTGTGAGTTTCCCATCCGTCTCCGTCGTAATCAAGTCATCTACTTCTTCTTCTCCTTCGCCTCCTTATCCTTGTCCGAAGACTCCTTAGACTCGCCGTTCACGCCGTTGGCCTTATCATCCTTCTTCTCCTCCTTGCCGTTTGCCTCGTCCTTCTTGGCCTCCTTCTCCTCCTGCTGCTGTCGGTTCTGGATCTTGTTCTCGATGAGGTCGTGGAAGGCCGTGATCGCACGAATCAGACTGCTGAGGTAGATGGCCATGAGCTGGTCGTTTGTCTTGATGCTCATGGCATGGGAGAGCTCGCCGCCGCTCGACTTGCCGTCACCCTTTGGCGGCGTCGACAGGTTGGGCAGAAGGTTGAAGACGTCTTGGAGGTTGCCTAGGATAGCGTGGTTGACCGGGAGCTGGCCATCGAGGACCTTTTGGAGGTAGGCGCCAATGTCGCGCAGACGGAGGTGTAGCCCTTGGAGGGACTGGAGCTGGTTTGTTATCCGGGTTGACAAGGTGCCGACTGCAACGTCGCGAATATCGCGGAGAAGGTGCTCTACACCAATCTCTTCTGCTTCCTCGGCCTCGATGATTGACGGAGTGTGGACAAAGGTTCTTGAGGTGGTTGTGCCGTCCTGGACATACTACGTCAGTGATAGGTATTCGCTTGAGGACCAAAGCAGGACTCACATCCTTGATCTCCTCCACGGCGAAGTATGCGTCCGTTGGCACGCCCGCCTCCTTCGGTTGTACATCAATAATGACTAGGAGAGGGTTCGGGGTGTAGCGCTTGAACAACTCGTTGATCTCGAGATCCGACGCCCGCAGCTTGGGTCCGGAGTGGTACCAGCCGATCAGCTTTTCCCTTGCGTTGACCTTCTTGAACATGTCGTTCATGCCCTCGACGTAGTTGTGGTCCAAGAACCACACTGAGGGGTCCTTGTCATCCTCCTCGAAGGGTACTGTGGGTTAATGTCAGCCTCGCGGGTAAAGCCTACGGGTGGTGTGCCGTCGTTGTCATCGTACCTGCGAAACTGTTGGATACACGGACGTTCTTGCCATCGTTAGAGCCCAAAAGGACACCGACCACTCTGCGTTTCGATCCCTTGACTACCGCCCGGTTGTAGTGATCGACAACGGAAAGAAGAACGAGAGGGGCAACGGAGACGTTCCGTGTGACGAGAGACAGAGTCTCTGCGGTGGTGGCAGGCATGATAGAGGTATTTTCGTAGCTTCGTTAGGTCGATTGGGTCGGCTTCGTGGAGGATGAAGGGTTGACGAGGCGGCAGTGATTTTTGGATGTTGGTGTAGTGAGTACCGTGAGGTAGTGGTGCTGTCGTACTGCTGAGGCTGCCTTCCCGCCCAGCTTAGCTACGAATCGGGCTTAGGCGCAAACGAAAGCTCGAGCCTCGCCAGATCACGTGGAACGAAGGCAGCTGTCATTACCTAAGCAGGGACTTGGAAGGTCAAACGAAAACAATTGGAGTGACGGAGTGTTCAGACCTTACTTAAGCACAAGCTCTAGCCACTTAAGGCTCAAGCAGTGGCTTGATCTGCCTGCCACCTGCCACCTGCCACATCGGCATCTCGTTTTTCGCGATCAAGATCTCCCGACAGCCAAGTCCGGCGTCGGCCCCTGCTGGCTCCATCTGTGCCCTGCTTTCCGTCTTCACTGACTAAGGAAATTCAACAACGGATTTATTTCCATCTGAGAAACGGGTACTGCGGTATGCGCCTCAACAAGTGACATCTGAACACGAAGCCTCCTAGCCTTCTCAAGCCTGCAATGGCTTTCTCGGAGAATTGCGGGTGACTGGGATGACCCTAAGAGACTCACATGTCGCACGGCACTAGAAGCCCTCGAGACCAAGACCTGGGCCCGGTGACCTCATAGCAAGGCGTGCCCATCCGGTGCGCCGGAGGCTGGGTCTTCTCGCGAGAGCTTCTGATGCCGTCCGCCGTGCCTTATCCGCATATTGCTTAGTGGTGCCTCTCTAACAGTCACGTAGCGCAATTTGGGTGTCTAGGTCTTAGGAGGGCTAAAGGACGCCTGTACCTGCCCGCAATGGACCTCGGCGGAGAGGGAGCGGCGAGGACCGACCAATGGTGGGCGGAGCGCTGTAACGGAAGCGCACTCAATGGCACCTGGGCGGAAATATGGAGATTGGAGAGAGAGACCTTTGGCAGCGAAACAGCCGAACGAACGCCTGCCACCCTGTTCCCCCAGCAGAACCAGCAGAAAGGGCCCCAGTAGATCTACCCAATCACGTAATCATTAGCCGACGCCGTGGCCGCCAAATGGTCTGTCACCTGCCTTCACCCACGCGCAAAGCTCGGTACGGCGCAAGTACCCCCAGCCAGAGGTGCAGCAGAACCCAGCGCACTGCAACTTGCCGGGCTGTTCCAGTTCCAGTTCCAGGGCCTTTTAGGTGGTACATCCGTGCCTGGAAACCACTGGAGGCGGGAACCTGGGCGACCTTGGCCGTTCACTAGGACTTCGCAGCAATTCTCAACCTCTTTCGCGACTATTTTTCCCGCAAAGCTTTGTTGCTTCTTCTACCCAGTCCTCCAACCTCGACAACTCTCCTCTCTCCCCTCCCTCTCCCACCTCACTCTTCTCCTTCTTCTCTTCAAGTAGCTCTCTTCTTGCATCTCTTTGCTCACCACTCATCTCTCCGAAAGCCTCGGTCCGGCCTAAGTTCACTCTTCACAAGCCGTCAAAATGAGCAGTCTCGTTGAGGAAGCAGTCAAGAAGCTGACCAACACGGTCGAGAGCCTCGAGTCTAGAATCAAGGCTCTTGAGGACCGCGCGGCTGGCGGTTCCGGCAAGCTCTCCACCGAGGAGGTTCGCATGATCCTCATCGGCCCCCCAGGTGCTGGTAGGTGTCTCCAATTGAGCTTTCTGGCTCGCATCGCCTGCTCGTCGCAACAGCCATGCTGATTCTTAAACTCCCGCACAGGCAAGGGCACCCAAGCTCCCAAGATCAAGGAGAAGTTCAACTGCTGTCATCTGGTAAGCCAATTGACATCTGTCTTTTATGCCGCATGCTTTTGATCAGCTCTAACAGCGGGTTTCACATCTAGGCCACTGGTGACATGCTGAGATCCCAAGTCGCCAAGAAGACTCCGCTCGGCCGGGAAGCCAAGAAGATCATGGACCAAGGTGGTCTCGTCAGCGATGACATCGTCATCGGCATGATTAAGGAGGAGCTGGAGAACAACAAGGAGTGCAAGGGAGGGTATGTCGGATCTATCTGTCGCGAAACCTGCCAACGGACACCGTTCAGCAGCCGTGGCGCACCAGCTGCAGAGCCAACGTAACGCTAACCTACGGACCAACCTCACAGCTTCATCCTCGACGGCTTCCCCCGTACAGTCCCCCAGGCTGAGGGACTCGATGCTATGCTCAAGGCGCGCAACCAGAAGCTTCAGCACGCTGTCGAGCTGCAGATCGACGACTCCCTGCTCGTCGCCCGCATTACCGGCCGCCTCGTCCACCCCGCTTCCGGACGCTCCTACCACAGCACCTTCAACCCTCCCAAGGAGTACATGAAGGATGACATCACTGGCGAGCCCCTCATCCAGCGCTCCGACGACAACCCGGAGGCCCTCAAGAAGCGCCTCGCTACCTACCACGCCCAGACGGCTCCCGTCGTCGGCTACTACAAGCAGACCGGTATCTGGAAGGGTCTCGACGCCTCCCAGGAGCCCGGCCAGGTCTGGAAGAACATGCTCGAGATCTTCGACTCCCAGCGCAAGGGCGGTCACGCCTCCGGCATCCTCAGCCGCATCACCTCCAAGAACTAAGCTAGCAATCTCCAGAGCCCGTGGCTGTTGCTGTGTCCACGCCCGCCACCACCCCAGGGCGCGCATGTCACACAAAGACAAACGAGAAGACTTGATCAGAACTCCTTCTTATCGGCTGTCAACCCTTTTCGAAAACCGCGGCCAGCAAAGGAAGAGGAACGTGGATCGGAGGAAACGTTTTTATGGAACTGTTATTTTATGGATCATGAAAGGACCGGGAAAGGGGAATACCGTTTCCCAACCGTCGTCCACGCCTTTACCAAGCAGGCTTATATTTTGCGAATGACGTTTTGGCCATTGGGAGGGAAAATTCGGGAGCTTCTCGCGCTTCTTCCACGACGACCCGCAACACACTCTCACACACCCAAACGAACCCTATCGTGTAGAAATATCGCACGCTTGTATGTAACACAATTACTGTCTCACTAATAACCAAAACCGGCGGTTTGCAGTTGGATGGGCACCGAATACAAACAATTCTTCAAAAATATGATTCTTCATCGTCTCTTCAAACCCTGACTGAAACTGCAGAGGAGTGCGTCAGATCGATCGCCCAAAAGCAAGGTGAGTAAAAAAGACGCGTTCGCTACACTTCGGTTCGCGTGGCGCCGAATTCGGGCACCCTCGGCATTACTGTGTCTTACCTGGCCTGTACAAGAAAAAAGTGAAAAGAGGCAAATTATGGGGCCGCTCTCCCCGACATCCATTCCGTCTCGGACGGCCACGGCCCTCATGGGTTCGCGAAAACTGGACCTCTTTCATGCTCCAATTCCCGTCGAAACCGATCTTTTCCCAGGATGACGCAAGACGGAGCTGTCGGCTGTCGATGGAGGTAGATGATGTCGGAGGGGCAACGTTCGGGTCACCCCGGCCGAGGCATTCGCTCGAAAACCACCGCCGATGGGGGGTACTTCCGAAAAAATAAAAGAAAAAGAAAAAGGCAACGAGATGATATCGATAGTTTGGTCCATTCTATAACACTCCTATCAAAAGATGAGAAGAAAGGCTTGCTCCTCCCATACGCGCTAGCAACTATGAACAAAGAAAATATAAGGAGGTCGAACACAAAGGGGGCCCGGAATTTGAAGGTAAGTAGGGACGAGAATAAGCCGTTGAAAGGAACAGAGAGTGCCGCCACCATCCCCGCGATGCAATGCAATGCTCCCGAGATGCAGGCCAGCCAAGCCACCCCCTTCACTAAGACAAGAAAAATGCCAACGCCAACGATGCTTTCCGCTACTCCAAAGCCAAACTGCCAGATATGGTGAGATAAGATATAGTGGGAGTTGAAGAGAGGTCTATATGCTTAGGATGGGTTCCTGCTCCGGGTGAATTGGACACTTTGGGCTGCTCTACCTCCTAGGAGTGGCTGCATAAGAAACATCAGCACTCATGTCCATAGCGTTCACTAGCAAGTTTCGTACCGTTGACCATTTGTCTCTGCTTGCCCAGCCAGCTCTTGGGCACTTCGTTTCTCCTCTGCAACACCACGTGATTGCTCTGGATACGGCTAGTAAGATCGTACCAAGCGGTGGCAATGAGGGCGTTCTCGCGTTGAAGATTCTTAATGATTTGGTCACTCGCAGCCTTTGCAATTATCGTCAGTCACTGGACAATCATGGGAAAAGAGAGGAGAGACGGTGATATCAAATTCAACCGCATCAATAAAGCATCAAAGCATACCTTTTGCGCCGCAGCCGCTTCGCCGCCCTCCGCCGCCTTGAGCTTACGCTGCAAGTCGTACTTTTCTTGCTCGGACTTTTCCAGTTGCTATAAAGAGGTCCCGTCAGTCACTACTGCCCGTATGCGTTGATCATAAATTCAAGTGTCAAAACTCAGCTCTCAGCCGACGCCATGACGAGGAAGATAAAGTCCTTGGGCGCGATGAAGACCTTGATTGGCCAAACACCTTGCTTGCTACATTCTTGATCCATGTCTTCTTCTGCACCGGTTCTTTGTGCCTTGGCTGACGTTCTGAGAACGTATGAGGATGACAAGGGGGAGCCATGAGCCGGGGCTTCGGATCGTTGTCGTACAACATCGATGCCCGCGGCTCGGCAGGCAGCTCAGGTGATTCGGGGGCGTCGGGCTCGGATTTAGGGGAAATTTGGAGAATGTGTCTAAAACGTACCGATTGTCGCTCCTTGAGTCTCGCCCGCAGCTTCTCAATCTTGTCTTCGCGCTTCTGGCTAACCTCGCTGGACTCGGCACCATCTTGCCGGCCCTCCTTGGCTTCGTCAAGTTCCTTTCGAAGTTTGTCCTTCTCTAGCAGAGCGTTGATTAGTGAGCTTTGGCGGTTCTCCAAGTCAGCGCTGAGGTTCCTTATTTGTAGGCGCGCTGCCTCAAGCTCCTCTCGAACCGAGGCTGAGATGAGCTGGTCAGTGGATTTGAGCTCCTCCAGGGCAGTAACACTATCTTTGGCAACAGCAGAGAGGTCTGTCCTGGCACTGAGGAGCTCACGATCCTTGTCGGCGAGCTGAGCTTGCACCTCTGTGAGCTTCCTCTTCTCGGCTTGAAGCTCATGGGTCATCTGGGCAACCTGAATCTTCAAGTTGGCCAAGACCTCGCTAAAGTAGTATTCTTGCGTTAGCACTCGTTCCAGGCCAAGTGGGATAAGCATATTAACGAATTCGACTGACTTTTCGCCGCCGCCCCCAATCAAAGCGCTGACTTGGGCCTCTGCGAGCTGGTGCTTTTCAAACGTCTCGTTGTACGTGCTTTGGAGACGCTCCCGCTGTCGTCGTTCGTCCTCGAGCTCTTGTCGCAACCGAGCATTTTCTGAAGCGGAGCCCATGCCGCTACGGAGCAAGTTGTTCTCAGCCTTAAGTCGAGAGACCTCAAGGCTTAGGTTGGGAGGAGCACTGCTGCCAGCACTGTCAAGCTCCTGCTCCAGGCTGAACCCAGCAGAAGCTGCGTCTGGTGACATGGCTGATGAGCCAGCCCCAGTGGCAATCTGCTCCTGCAGCTCAGAAATGAGGCGCTCATCTGAAAGACGCTGAGCGTCAAGAGACTGAAGGCGAGCCCTCAGCTGCATGGTGTCATCGTGAAGCGCCCTTCGCTGGGCATCCAGCTCGACGTACTGCAGCTCGTAGTCTCTGAGCTTCGAAGCGTACTGCTCATTAGTCTGTTCCAGCGCCTGATTCCTCTTTAGAACCTTCTCGTATTCAATGAGGTCACGCTGCATCTGCTCCTTTTCGTAAAGCAGGTTGTCCATCTCTTTCGACAAGGTGGATTGGGCCTCGAGCTTCTGCTTGTACCGTTCCACCATGTTTGCCTTGCGGGACAGCTCTTCATTCTTGAAGCGCAGTTCCTTCACTTCATCATCGAGAGCCTCGAGCTTCTGAGTCTTGGCCTTGAGCGCGGAGACCTCGCTTTGCAGCCGCTCTTTTGCGATACGATCGTCCTCAGCCTGAGCCTCCTGGTTGGCGATAAGTTCATCCTGCTCACGCAGCTTCAACTCAAGCGACCTGATGACCTCCTTTCCGGCACCATCTTGAGCGCTGTGGAATGCTTCCAGCTCCCTTCCCTTTGCAACGACCTCGTCCTTTAGATCGTCATAGCTCTCCTGCAGATGGCCCAAGCGTGTCTCCATGTCTGCGAGGAGCTTTCCTCTTTTGTCTAGTTCGGAACGAAGACGTATGTTGTCAGCCTCCATCGCAAGGTCGGCATCGTGACCCTCGTGGGTGGCGTCGGAAGTGTCGTCGAGGTCTGCTGCGTCAGCTTCTTCCATGGCTTGCTTCATGTCCTGAGTGATTCGCTGGAGCTGCATGAGGACCGACTTGTCGGAGATGTCCTTGGTTATGCGCATGACGTATCGTTCGTTGTTACTCCCGAGCATCGCGATTGCAAAGAGAACGGCAATGAGCTGTGTGAATTTTCGAATTAGCGGATCCATGGGCCGAAAGAGAACGACAGTGTCCGTCATGATGATAGGTACCTGGGCGATAGCTTCTGGCTGCGCTTCTCTGGCTCTGGGTCGAATGTCCGCAGACTTCACCTTGCCCACGAGCCCGGGGCACTCGCGATAGACCAGCCTATGGATGCCCTTGTAGACATTGTAGAGGGGGCCTTCGCTGGTATTTGCGTCGAAGGAAGGATCGAGGTCCTGCAGGACCTGAGAGAGTAGGATGCCATCGAGATAATCGTTTATTGAGTCGGCCTTCTTGTCGAGTGGAAACGTGTTCGCCTAAAGACACCAAAAGTTAGCATTCTACTCTCTTAGGACCTGAGCTGAGGTCTGCGCCTGGCTAAGGAGGTGAAGTTTCCACATTCACGGCGATCCATATTGACCGATGACTTACCCATTGGACCAGCGCGGCCTGCGCGCTCTCTGAATACGGCATGATGCTGCCCGTCTATCGCGTTGTGACTTCGTGGTAGTCGTCGTCGTGTGTCGTCTTCTCCGTCGATCTTTGTCAAAATGGCAGCCCTCACCTCGGATTTTGAGCAGCACGTGGGAAAGAGGCCAGGTTGGGTTCGGGTTCCACTAGGTTCGTCGTGGTGTTCGTGCTTGGTGCAAGTCAAAGCGGCAGGGTATGTTGTATTGTGGTTCCATGTGCTCGGAAAGCTCGCATCGCATATAGGCAAGGTAGTCGGACGGGATCAGACACCTAGGGAGAGTGCGGGAGAGAGAACATAAGGTGTATTAAAGAGTTTCGACAAAACCTCGTGTCGTCGGTCGAGGAAGGGCGGTGAAAGGCAAAATTTTGGGAGGAAGCCTTGTTCGCGCACAGGTGGTGGTTGAAAGGGACCTGCAAGTACTCCTCAGTGCAGCAGGGAAGGGGAGAGGAAAGGGAAAAGTGTCTCGTCGTCCCAAGACAGACGCATTGTTCAAGTCCAATGCTCCTGCTTCCTGCCTCTCTTCTATCGAATCCACTTCAATCTTGCATGACTGACTTGCATCGTACATAGCTCCTCCTCCCCTTATCGATTACCAAAGGCAGCTAGCTAGGCTAGGGGAAGTCTAGTCGAGGCACCTTGCCGCGACGTGCGCGCCTAGCAGCTTTAGCATCAGCGTTGTGATGTGTACCAGCCTGCCGCTTATTTCGAGTTGAGGTACCTGATTTCTCTTCCCCAGGTGAGGTAAACTAAAAGTACCTCAATCGCTCAGGTGGGATCACTCAGTGAAAACCACTGCCGTCCGACAGGTACATCCTTACATTAAGGCATCTCCCGCCCCCAAGCCCGAAACTCCAAGTGACGCGAAGCGGGACGGATGTCCAGGGGCCCTGATGCTATAGTGGGGCGGCCGGTTCTCGAGGCCACTGACAGCGCCGTGTTTCCCTCTTTGACCCTTTGGCCATTGTGGGAGACCAGCCAAACACAAGCCTCAACGGCTAGCCTTTGAGTCTCCAGTGATTTCTGCATGAGATACCAGCCTGATCCTGCCGGGTTTTCCTTTCTACGAGGGTGTCCTCCGAGTGCCTTGTAGAGAGCCTTTTGACCATCTGCAAGTCTGCGAGCAAACAATCAACATGACACGGTGACACAGGGCCTGCTGGTCGGCATCCCGTCATTGTCCCAGACCTCCCTTGTGATGAACAGTAGATAGCGGGTTTCTTCTGAACAATACCGAACACGGATCAAACAGCTCTATTTCCGTAGACTCAAAACCCGTCACTCGCTAGAGCACAGACTCGTCCTGGATGTCCCTTGAGTGCTGCCTTGGCCAACCCCTCCAATATCGCTCCCAGCGTTCCAGTCGCAATCGCCCACGCTCTTGGTTCTCAGATCCTCACGCCTAGATTGCCCACTTGGACAGCTCCGTAGACGCTTGGGAACGTTGGTTCGGCACGGTCGCTGCCGTAGGGTTGCTTTGGGCGTATTGTCTCCCGCTCAGCATAGATACAACCTGACGGCACTCTCCTCTTGCTTCCAAGACCCTCGCATTCTCTTCATCGCGATTCTTGAAATCGCATCTTCCCCAAAGTGACACTGGCGTCTGGAGCGTGGCTTGCCAACAATTCCCCCACAGCGCGCTTTGACTCGTCTGTGACATGGCCTTGTATTCTTCATCAGGAGTCCACACGCCCAATTGGCAAACTGTCCGAGGAACATTAGAAACACCGGCCTTCGTCCCACAGAGTACCCCCTATTGATACAGCATGCCGCACTCTTCTTCAGCTGCTGAGCTGCACACTGGCGGGACGAGGGCACGAGAGAGCACTCTGGACGATACGTAAGCCTGGAAGAAGAGAAATTGCGCCGCATGGTGACATATCCATTTCTCATCAAGTTCAATGGGGATTCTGGACCGTCCAGTGGGGAAGCTGGGACCTGCAGGAAATCCGCTTTTGATCTGCGAATCTGCGCCGCACACGATTCGCTCTCCACTCCTCAGGCACATCGTCTCCTGTTTGGACTGTCACTGGGAGGCTGAAGGAGTTCCCGTACATAAGGCTTGCTGTTGACGTCGCTCGCCATGTGGTTCTCAGCCGCATCCGTCCTGTCTTCGGCGACTGTTCATCCACCGGGCCGCCATGACGTTGGTCTTGTCGCTAATGGCGAGATCCTACATTCCATTCACTCTTGGGAGCAGCTGTGGCCGATTCAGGCAAAGCGTATGCTTAGTATTGATTTTTTGGTTTGGGGCATTGGGTAAGATTCAGCTACTGGCGGTCTGAACCCGTCTCCTGGCCCTATTTGATACTAATGGCGTCCGGAGACGCTTTATAAAGGGCGGGAAACTCCTGACTCCGTAGCAAAAACCCGTCTATGACGAAAATGGGGGATAAAAAAGTGCCTCCTTGCTTGTCCCTGTCGCAGCCGCCGGGAAGGGGGCGGATATCATTTGCCCTCGTGACCTAGTCCAGCCATAGTCAAAGTCCTTTTTACTGGTCGAATCTTTCACACAATAATCGTATCGCAAGTCGTGTCATCGGTGTTGGCATCTTGAGTTTGATGAGGCGACACGTTGAGCTTAGCCGCTGACAATCTGGTCCTCGTCGACGTTCATGTCATCGCCGCCAAAAGCCTTGATGTCGTCGAGGGCCTTGGCTGGCGCAATCGCAGCAAAACCCCTGCGAAGGAGAATCAGCATGGAACGCGGGTCACAGCAGACCGCGCCCTGAGGTCTCCAATGAGTCTTACCTGAAGTTATCGAGCATGTTGTAGGTGTGGGTGATTTGTCCCTGAGCCTCAACAATGGCGGCCTTGGCACGATCGATCATGTCCTGGGTGACGGACTTCTTGTCGGTCCAGATGATGACGGACTTCATCTGGTCGACGGCGACGACGCCGGAGGCGACGGTGAGGACGGCGGTCAGGAAGGCGGAGAATCTCATCGTGGCGGGTAGAGGTCGACGGTCGTCGGGGTCAAAAGGTGTTTGGTGTTGAGCGCTTTAAAGTTAAAGAGTGGGCGGGTAGTTCGGGCAGTGCAGTCAGAGCGACTTTGTATCGACCGATTTCGAGGGGTTGCACGAACTGGCGGAAATGGCGAGGGCTCTTCGTATTATGCGGTAAATGAAGCCACCAAGGGTCTGCTGGCAGCTGGGTGGGGGATTCGCGGGTGTTAAATGGTTGTTTGCTGGGGACGGAGACGGAGATGGAGCGAGGCGAGTAGTGTAAGGGTGGATGCAAGAAACAAGTTCGACAGTGCAGTTCCTGGGTACAGGTAGGGAGGAAGGACAGCAATGTCTCCTGCTTGGACAGTACGGTCCGGTGGCGGAATTCTGTTTGTTACTGGCCGAGCTGCTTGATGAGGAAAGACACTTCATCGCTGCAGTAGGCCACTAGCAGCCAACCTCGTTCTCCCACAGGTACCACCTGCCCTGAGAGGTGCAGTGGGCGCGGCGTCATTGGTTCTGGACGTGCCCATCACACTGCACTGAGAGTGGGTGGAGCCGGCAGTGATGGGACAACCCGTCCACACCGTGCTCTAGGGGGAGGGGAATGGGGGGGCCAGGGTGCCAGATTGCATGACCATCTGCCCCCAAACACTGCGAACCACCTCTTGGCAGTTCCAACACTTCCGCTTGAGTCACGTGTAGACGGTTTCGTTCGAGGTTTGCAATTTCTGCTACCTCCATCCATCACGTTGGGCGCATATTCATGTGCTGTGGATTTAGCCGCTGGCTGAGCATAGGGACGCAAACGATTGCGATTCATTACCAGTACAACTGCCCTGCTGGCTCTCCAAGTAGTGTGCACTTGACTCCTCAACGCCGATTCGTGTCCTTTGATAAACTCCAAGCCGTTCAAGTTACCCCCCAAAACAAGTTGTTGGTGCAATCCGTATGCAAGATACTGTGTTACTGGGAGCACCAGATCGCTTGCAAAACCCATGGAGGCATCTACCCCTTTGCACTACCAGTCGTGCTGTCGTTCTCGGCCCAGATGTCCTTAGTCTCCTGCTCAACAGCCCGCATGGCAACGGCAACATCCTCAAGCTTGGCCACGACATCCAACACGCCCTGGTTGACTCGCTGGAAGTAGCGGTCGTTGGCCTCCCGTCTCTTCCGAGCAAGCAGAATGTCCACCTCCGTCTCTTGCTCAAGCTTCGCTCCGAGACGCTCCGTTCCCCCACTGCTTCCCGGTCGAGCGCTACCGGTCCCCGTACTTCGCGGTCCGTCACCGCCATCCGACCCCATGCCTGTCTCTCCGAGAACGGCACTCTTCAAGTTGCGAACTTCTTCCCCCGCTGCGGACGCGTTGGATCGCTGTCCCGTCTCAATTGCCTCGTCAGCCTCGCTGCGCGCCCAGGCTTGGGCCAGGGCAATCTGAGCGGCTCGCAGCTCCTCCAGCTTGCGGTCGTGGTCCGGTCCAAAAACATGAGTTCCGCCGGATGCAGACAGCTCGACCTCCTCCAATGTTGCCTGCATCTCAGCCCACAAGGCGTCTGTCCTGTCGGTACTGCGAGCACTGTCTGCCGTTTTGAGATTACGACCAGCCGGCCTGGCGACGGACGGCGTGACCACTGAGCCAGTGTGAAGAGATCCGTTGCGTTGCAGGCTCATGACTTGGGGCGGTAACGGTGGGACGCCTGTAGATGTAGTTGGTACCGGCGCACCTGGCGCGAGGATGCCTGGGAGCGATGCATGAGAGGCAGCTGGGGAGGGATGGAGGAAGAGGGATGGCGGGGGATCCCGCTGCTTTCCTTTGCTTTTGGCCGATTGAGACATGCCTACATTTTGCGTGTCGTCGTGAACATTCCACGCCCTGGACTTCGCGCCTGAGACAGCATCTCTTGAACCTGACGGCATCTGATCGGATTGGTTGAGAGACGGGTAAGTTACGGACCTGGGGGCACCCTAGTCAAGCCTGCAGAGACGTGGGGTTCGTCGATTGAGATGACCTGGCCGATGCATGATTGGACCAAAGAAGTGGCTTGTTCAGCCAGCACCAGCCACTCGACTCGCTCGAAGCTCAGACCATCTTCACGTGACTGCAACTTTTTGCGCCCGTCGACTGACTCTAGGGCCACCAAACCCTACGAAAATTCCCTTGGGCCAGCTCAGTTGGGTCAGGTCAACTTTTTCGACGTACGCAGGCCCATACTGTCACCACCAAGTCAAGACTCGCGATACCCCCAAACAAATCGGTACGTTCGCCATCATACCCAAACCCTTCGCATCCGTTGCCGACGAATCCCAATCAACCGACGACGACGAACTTCCCGAACCCACGCCATTTTTATAAACTTCTTGTACAGAACTTCTGAACTGACGATTTGATCTTGAAGCAACCATGCCTCGTGGACTCAACGCCGCGCGCAAGCTGCGCCTTAACCGCAAGGACCAGAAGTGGGCCGATCTTGGATACAAGAAGCGTGCTCTGGGTACCGCCTTCAAGTCCTCTCCCTTCGGTGGTTCCTCCCACGCCAAGGGCATCGTCCTCGAGAAGGTCGGTGTCGAGGCCAAGCAGCCCAACTCCGCTATCCGAAAGTGCGTTCGTGTTCAGTTGATCAAGAACGGCAAGAAGGTCACTGCTTTCGGTACGATACCCCACCCCGTTATTATTGGATGCGATGGGAGGAAAAGATGATGTGGACAAAATCTTCGCACAACGAGAAGACCATGTGGTAGAGAGGTCAAATTGCTGACATTCAATTCTTTAACAGTCCCCAACGACGGTTGCTTGAACTTCGTTGACGAGAACGACGAGGTCCTCCTGGCTGGTTTCGGTCGCAAGGGCAAGGCCAAGGGTGATATTCCCGGTGTTCGTTTCAAGGTCGTCAAGGTCTCTGGTGTCGGTCTGCTCGCCCTGTGGAAGGAGAAGAAGGAGAAGCCCAGATCTTAAGCGTTCGGCACGACAATTTGGGAGGCAGTGGAAGAAAATTCGGCACTCGGAGTTTACGCTTGCATTGGCATCACACGGTTATGGATGGTCCTGACTACTACTGCGGGGTAGACTTTGGTCGATGAAATAAAACATCATGAAAGTCACCAAAACGGACATGAGGCATTGCATCATCTACGCAAGACACAAAAATGGGGCTGCGGGCGTGATGAAAAGGGTATTCCGATTTCTATGTGCTACGAATACAGGCAATGTTGGTACACGTTACTACGCTACGATCTCCTGCTCCTCCACCTTTTCGCCTTGAATGTACCGTACAATGTAGTCGGCGAAGAGACCGATGCTAATGGCGCCGCCTGTGAGCCAGCAGCCATTGCAGAACCACCACCAACAGTCCTTGACGCTCTTGAGGTTGACGCGCTTGATCATGATCCCAAGTGTCAGTGCAGCACCTCCACAGCTTCCGATGTAGAAGAGAGGTCCGGCACCAGCAGCGAAGCCCGCCATGCCCAAAAGACCGATCTGGACTGCCGCCAGGCCGGTCAGAACCTGCTTCGTCTCAGCGTCATGTTTCAGTGCGATACTCTTGATTCCCGCCTTGGCATCATCCTTGATATCTTGGTGGGCGTAAATCATGTCGTACAGCACCGTCCAGGCAACATTTGAAGAGTAAAGACAAGCAGCAGCTGTCAATGCTGCGCTGTTAGAGAGCAGGTCGATACCGAGGGCAGGGAACCCCATCATTGCTCCCCAGGAGAACGTCAGTCCGAGGACGGCCTGGGGATAGTACGTGACGCGCTTGGCGAGAGGGTATGAGGCGACAAAGAGCAGGCTTGGAATGCCGTAGAACAGGCAGGCAGTTGGAAACTGTACCAAGACTCCCAGCCCGGCCAGAAGCTGAGCACCAGTGAAGACAAGTCCTTGAAAAGGAGTGACGGCGCCCCGCGCAATGGGTCGAAACTTGGTTCTCGTGACGTGGGGATCAAGGTTGCGGTCCCAAAGATCGTTGATAGTACAGCCTGCGCCACGCATGATAAGAGCGCCTGAGGCGAAGAGGAGAGAGGTTCCAATCACTGTGCCGGGAGTTGCCATGGCCATCGGCGCCGCCATGAGTGTCGAGAAGACGCATGGAAAGAAGAGATAGTACGTTCCTACAGGCTTGTCGATTCGGACAAGCTCGGCGTAAGGGACCCATGATACAGGCAGGTAGGAAAGGAGCCCAGTCGTGGGCGGTGTGTAGACAGGCTCAGCAGGGCCTGTTACAGCAGCAGCAGCATCTTGCGTCACCGCGGCCGTGAGACACTTCGTAGATGTGTGAAGCGCCGTCTGCTGTTGGCGGACTGAGCTCCGGACGATGAGGCTCGTAGTAGGCTTTTTATGCGCTTGAAGTCCAAGCCGCGACGAGCACCTTATGGGCAAGAGTGCCGATGTCCGTAGTGAGGGCTTACATACCGTCCGTAAGGAGCCGCTCAGAATGCTGACTTGCCTCATCTTTATGGACTGGAAAACGTCAGTATTAAGTTTTGGCAAGGGGGTAATGTGACTCGTCGACTCCTATCGGACATCACGAAAACAAGACTGATGGCTGCATTGCAACGCCACAACGAAATGGGGGTCTGCGTTACATTAAAAGGATTGATGCACATATATATATATATATATCCGTACATCAATCATGGACAAGCTGGACGGCGCATATGTCGAGTCAAAGGCCGAGCAGTTTCTCATGAGCCTTGCTCATGGGAGACGGTTACGCTTACACGTTTGAATGTAACAACGTCAATCACCGGACGAAATGCCACTTGCACTCTCATGACGTACGAAAATAATCAAATCCAGAGAAGAAACGCATAGAAATGAATACAACTCACCGAATACCGGAAACAAGTCTCGCGTTCCACCTACCTTCTCACTTTTTCCACCGAAGAAACCGAATTTTGGAAGCTCCCAATCGAAGACCCTTCAAAGAGCTCGTTTGTGGTCCGTGCTCCCGCCTACCTTTTGATTGGGCGCGCATTTGAGTTTCCTCCCATCCATCTACCTAGGTAAGTTTGGATAGCCTTGTCCAACGCCACTTTCCGTTTTCTCGCGACACGCCTGGGCGCTTCCCATTACGATTGCCTGGTGTCACTTGCGCCTGCCATCACTCACGACGTGCACCATAGCTTCTTGACGCGCCGAAAGAAAATTTAACTCACTCATTGCCTACGACTTCATCGAGGGCATTTTGCACCCCGTGCAGCCCGAATGACTTCTTGAAAGACGCGTCTCGGAAGATACCCCACCTGGCGCGGTAGTCCTCGATCGTCAAGATGCCGACCGCTCTGCATCCCCAGGCGAAGTTCGATCCGATCTCGCCGGACCTGGATCTTCATAGTCTTGTGGACAAGACGCCTAACTTTGAATGGGTACTTCGGATCTCGACGGCACAGATCCAAGGCCTGGGTCCCCAAGAGTTTGAGAAGTTGGTGCAACTTCAGGTCATACAGGGTGGAAAACCTTTGGTCATTGAAAAATGGAACGATGTTCTCCCGAAATGGCTTTTTGGCGGCGAATGGCTTGAGAAGACCTACGACAAGAAACGTCAGTCTACACGCCTCCGTACGACATCGAGTGCTAACGTGTTTGCAGAGGAAAATGTCCGTGATATTGGCAGCCAAAGCGAGATTCCGATGACCATGGGGCACTATCTGAGAGCGATGAAGCAGCTCACGAATCAGTGGACGCCGAACAACTTCCGCGACGAGCGACGCCAGCGACTTTACCTCAAAGATATCGACTGCCCACCTGAGTGGCACGAGCACCTTCAAAAGGTGATTCCCCCGAACCTTTTTTACATGAACGAAAACATCACAGAGAAGGGAGGGTCGGATAATCGGGTCAGCGATGTCTTCCGTGGCTTGGGCGAGAAGACGATCGCTTCTGCCGGAGATCTGATGTCAAGCCTGCCGGAAGAAATGCGGGCTCAGAACCTTATGTGCTACATCGGCCACGAGGGAACATACACCCCCGCGCATCGCGAGATGTGCGCAAGTTTGGGACAGAACATCATGGTGGAGGCGTCAGGAAGTGAAAACGGAGAGAAGCCAGGCAGCTCCATTTGGTTCATGACGGAAACCAAGGATCGAGAAGTTGTCCGCGAATACTTTCTCTCCATGCTGGGACACGACATTGAGATTGAGAAGCACTTCGCACAGATCAACGCCTGGAAGAAGGCGACCTTCCCAGTCTACATCGTTGAGCAGAAGCCTGGTGACTTCATCCTTATCCCACCCCTGGCACCTCATCAAGTCTGGAACAGAGGTACACGTACCATGAAAGTCGCCTGGAACCGGACGACAGTTGAGACGCTGGATATGGCACTCCACGAAGCTCTTCCCAAGGCTCGTCTAGTCTGCCGTGATGAGCAGTACAAGAACAAGGCGATAATCTACTACACCCTAAAGAAGTATTATGCGCAGATGTTGCAGGCGGAAGATAACAGCGAGATGGGTATCCTTGGACTAGGCTCTGAACTCTTCCGCTCATCTTCACGGTTCAAGCAGCTAGCCAAGGATTTCCGACATCTGTTCTCTCTTTTCACCGAGATACTTGTCGACGAGATGTTTGCAACCAAGGAAAACAACATCGAGTTCGTCGAGTATGATTCATGCGTCACCTGCTCATATTGCAGATCAAATATTTTCAACAGATTTTTAACCTGCAAGCATTGCGTGCGAACTCTTGTTAATGGCGATGAGGATGCATACGATGTTTGCATGGAATGCTACGCCATGGGACGATCTTGCCTCTGCGTCTCCAAGCTGCAGTGGTGTGAGCAGTGGAAATGGTCAGAGCTCACTGAGAACTACGAGCTCTGGCGCTCAATGGTCATCAAAAATGATGGCTTCGTTGACATGGAGCTGTCTCCGCAACCTCTCGAGATCGCCCGTAGCCGACGCGGCAAGAAAGCGCTCGCCCAGATTTGCCAGGAGGGCTTGCGTCGACGACCATTCAAGGACATTTCCAAGATCGAGGAGGAGAAGCGCCTGTCCGAGTCCGAAGATGAGCCGGATCTCGATGACAATGGAAAGCCGAAGAAGAAGAAGTATAAGCGAAAGAAGAAGCAGGGAGATCTTCGCCGTTGCCACGTCTGTTGTCACAAGGATTATGCCTACAAGGTCCAGATGTGCTCCAATCCAGAGTGCAAGGAAGGATTCTGTTACGGAGTTCTCTACCGCGCCTTCGACATGATGCCCCAAACGGTGCAAGAGAACGAGAATTGGCTCTGCCCAAGATGCTTGGGCATTTGCAACTGCGGCGCGTGCCGTCGTGCCGGGACGACCAAGCCGTACACGCCAAAGAACACTCTCCTCGGCCATGACACACGACCAATCGCTGACGACCGAAGCGTTGAAGCGCTTGTCGATTTCCGCGTGCATAACTTGAACTGGCTGAAGGCGTCAGGCGAAGAGGGCCGAAGTACGAACAGCAAGCGCATGAAGCAATTACGAGAACAAGCCGACACTGCCAAAGCCCAGGAGCCGGCAGCTGCTGCAGCCGAGGATATTGCGAACGGCGCCAATTCGGCATCGAACGGTGCGAATGGTTATGGAGATCAGAGCCATATCCTCGACGGACACGATATGCAGCAACTTAATGGCGAAAATGGCTTTAACGGCGATGTCGACATTTCTCAGCAACATGAACAGCCCGTACCGTTCGCCGACATGGGCATGAATGGCAACTGGGACCAGTCGGCTTACCCAGACCCCATGGGAATGGGCGGTCAACGCATGCTTGGAATGGGTTATTACGAGCCATCCGGGCCTGATCAGATTTTGTTTGATCCGTTTCAAATGCCTTCAGCCGACGCTATGGTCTTCGATGAGGAGGCTGAATTCCTCAAGAAGACCCTTAAAGCTGCCAAGAGGAAAGCGAAGCACGAGAACGATCTTGATCCGGACTTCAATGCGCCACGCAGTCACCACAGAAAGAAGCCGAAGAAGGACAACGTAACAGACGAATCTGCCATGGACCCTGCGTTGTTCGGATCCGCCGCTCCTGATGCCGCTCCCGCAGTCGCCAGCGGTGAGTCCGGCGAGGCAGGTGAAGACGGCTTGGCCGTCGACGACGATCCGTCGGCTCAGCTGGAGAGAGAGGCGCAACAGGAAGTAGAGGGCCCACAGCGCTGGAAGGGTGGATGGGCCACGCCTTGGCCTCCGTCCTTCCCTGCGAACGTTCCAGAACTACGACATGCAAGACCTAAGGTGTCTTACGCCGAAGTTGAGGAGCCCGTCATTGACGACCCGGAGGACATGGTTCCTGCTTACAAAGCCAAGCCTCTGGTCGAAAATGATGAGCCGCAACCTGGCGACAGTAGCACTGATCCTCTGGATCTTGCGTCCGATGCCATTCGCGCCCTCATACAGAAGGGGACCGATGCTGCTGCCGCGGCTGCTACCGAAACGCCGAAGGTCCCTAAGAGACGTGGGAGGCCGCCAAGGGATGCAAGCTCAACTCCGGCCTCGGCCACGAGAGCGGCTGCTGTACCGAAGCAATCTGCGTCAGACGTGGCAGCCAAGAGACGGGAGGAGCGCGCATCTCGAAGATCAAGGCTTAGTGGTGTCGTCACCATTGATGGAGCTAGCTCATTCAACCCCCGAAACAGCATATACGCCGAGGACGACGATGATGAGCCTGGAGGGCACAACGTCACCGAAGCTGAACTGGAGGCCGAGTTGGAGCGTGAGTTGGCTGGCGAGGACACTCAGCAATCTGTCACGAAATCCATCGAAGGTGCGAGCGCGCAGCCAGTTAAGAAACGGCGTGGCCGGCCACCCAAGAACAAGACCACTGCCCCGGTTGCCGTGGAGGATGACGGCGATAAGTCTCCTCCACCTCCTCCGGCTGGCGCAAGTCAGATGATGTCCATGGCGGCCCGCGTCAGAGCTCGCGGCAAGAAGTTTAGGATCACCTCTCGCAGAGATAGCGCCAAGGGCACACCTTCCGCTACACCGGCCCCATCAGAGAGACCAGCTGGTGAGCAGAGCAATCAGTCGATGCCGAATCGAACGACAGAGAGTGCGCATGTTCCATCCGAGGGTCCGTCTGAGCCTCAAGAAGTCGCTGTGCCAGCCAGAGACATGTCAAAAGAGCCAACTCCAGACATGACGCCGCCGCCGCCGGGCAACTCAGCTAGAGATGCGTCCAAGGAGTCAAGTCCCGATATGACGCCTCCCCCGCCAGGCAGAGCGAGAAGAGATTCGACTCCCGATATGACGCCGCCCCCTCCAAACACGACGGGCAGACGCTGGCAAAAAGACGACGAGAATGACGGAGACTTCGCCGCTCCCGGAGGCTCGCCGTCTTCCGCATCTTCTTCCGACTCCGGTATTCCAGGTGCGAGCCCGAGTCCTCCACGGCCGCGACGAGGCAGACCTTCCAATGGGCCAACAGTTGTCAAGCTTGGCGGGTCAGACTCGGAGTCGGAGAGCGAAATTTCTTCGTCG